AGGTCCGTGAAGTCGACGCACACTCGCCAAGTCCCATTTTTCTTCTTCACCACCACTGTATTAGAGAGCCATGTAGGGTAGGTCACCTCCCTAACTGCTCCGGCGTCAAACAGCCTGTCAACATCCTTAACAACGGTGGTAGTGTGCTCTGCGGCTGACCGCCGGCTTTTCTGGATGATCGGCTTGTACTTAGGATCGACATTCAAATGGTGCTGTGAAACTGACGGATCTATACTCGGTATCTCGTACGGATTCCATACAAAGACATCGAGGTTGCTGAGCAGGAAAGATACTAGCTAGTGTTTGTCAGCCTAATTCAAGGAGGCGCTGACCATGAAGAACTTGTCTGGGCTTCCATCAATTTGAACTCGTTCCAAGTCTTCCGTTGCCTTTTTATTTGGGAGCCGCCCGACATCGTTGAGGCTTTCTCGATCCGGCAGCTCAATGGAATTCACCTGTAGTTCCTTTGGCGTTTTCTCAACAAAGAGATAACATGCTTGTGCCGATTTCTGGGAGCCACGAATTTGCTCAATACCGCGTTCTGTAGGGAAGTGGAGCAGCTGATGATAGGTGCTGGGCACGGCTCACATAGTATGCAACCAGGATCGCCCCATGATGAGATTATACGGCGACGGCAGCTTGACGACCAAGAATCCACATCCACTGTTTGGAACCTGCTCGAACGGGAAGTCTGATTTTTCCCAACGGGTACTCTGGATTGGCATTAAAGCCGAATAGTGGATAAGGGGCCGGAGAGAGATCTGATTCGGAGAAGCCGAGTTTGATGAATGTCTTGTAGTACATAATCTCCGATGTGCTCCCCGAATCGACGAGTACGCGCTCAACTGTGAATCGGTTTACGCGTAACTCAATTACCAAGGGATCAATGTGGGGCAGTGTTGCTCTAGCCAAATCCGAATCATCAAAAGTGATAACCTCGGCTTTATGGGGCCGTTTAGCCAGAATGAGTTGCTCTTGAGGGTTAGACCTCGACTGAATCGCATGCACCGCTGATGACATTGGCAGACTGTATATCATGTAGATCACGCGGAGCGCATATGAATCCTGTGTCAAGGCTATTGCTTTGGTTGGGTTGCCTTTTCGGACGTACCGTTGTAGCCGGCCATCTTGTGCCAATTTACCGTCGTACAAGGTGAATGACGGTGCTTTGAATTTCTTAGGTAGCACTGCCTTTGTAATTCGTCGTACAAAAGGATCGTGTTGATCGTTATCCGAGCTGTTTCTTCTTCGCTTATGCCTTGTACGGGGACTCTCTTCAGAAGAATTGGAAATTTCAGATCGTCCCTTCTTCGTGGGCTCCGAGGATAATGAGTCAGAGTTGCTATCAGTATCTTGTTGTCGGGCTCAAGAACGTCGACTAGCTGCCCTCACGGGTCGTCCCGGGCCTTGGTATGCAGATTGTTTGGACTTCGCCAATCTTTGTTCGTTTTGTTTTGCTTGTTGCAAGATCGCTTGCATTGCTTCGTGCTCCGAAGTCTAGGGTGAGGCAAAATTCAAGGCACGCCTTGCGGCGGTAGTCTTTGTTCCAAGCATGTTTGTTAGAGTGGTTTCATCTTGCGGTATAGGATCGACAGTGACTGTCGGAGGATCTTTTGTCACGCTCGCCATGGATGTGCTTGAGTATTTCCACAGACGGCGCCAATTGTGGAGAAGTGGTTTGGAAATACTCTTCTGATCCTGGAGAACGCTCGTGATCCTCTTCTAGTCACCTGAAAAGAAATAAACACTCCGATTGAGGGTGCCAGAATTAGCACTCCGACAGACAAGTCAGAATCCACACTCAAGAATGCTTGTATTCTAAGTTAAGCACCATAATTCTCACATACCTCTTTCTGGTTGATGTTCTTCTATTTATATTTTTTCTTCCATGGGCCTCGGGATTCGGTCCATTTCCAACTCATATTCGGCGTATTTTTTAATAGATCGACCTTCATTCGGCCCCTTGCCTAATCGGTTATTTGGTCGAATAGGGTTGGATTTGAGCTTGCGAGCGAATTGCCGAGTGCTTCAAATCTCGACTCTCCGAGATTCGGCTATCCGGAATCTCTACGACTCCCTCTTCTCGGCCCCCACAAGTGCAATGTTCCTTTTTTTCTCACACAATCTCTATGTCTCCTATTGTGACACTTTCTTTCATCTCCATCTATAATGAAACCAAAAATCTATCTACAAACTCCAAAATCTTCAAACGTCTGCCACTATCACCACCATCCAACGTATCCACCTCTCTCATTCATTACACCATTTCTCATCCCCCTCATCCACCACCACTTTACACCTACTTTGTTACCCATTCTAGTAAAAGCAGCCTCTGCCTTTGTCAATATCGTCCAGCTCCACATCCATTGCTTCTCAGTCAGAATGTCACTGTTGATTGGAAAGTCTCTGATATTTCGACTCTCTATTCCATCAATTCTTAGTTAACGCTCAACTACTCGTAATTCATTTAATGTATTGCATATAGATAAATGCATTAATATAGATGTGTACATACGTGTATTTGTATATAATCTCTTCTCATTTCTCTCAACATAGTAACTTATCTTTCCCTTCCCTTTCTTCACTTCGATCCTAAAGGTAATCTGCAATGGTGAAGTGATAGATAATCCTATAAAGGTGTTTATCATGCAAGAAATAATTGATAATCCAAAAGAATTAAAATATTAGTGAACTTGATAATCTAGCATAATGTCATATGATTGCACCTCTGAACAAAGGAGGGTGAGAGAGTGTGACAAGCGGTGATGAGGTTGGGTGAGAGAGGAGTGGTTGGCAATTGAAAAAAGTAGAGAATGGATAATTGACAACTTATGAAAATAGAAAAGGAACGGAATAGAGAAAAATTCATTAAAATTCGTTAGAATGTCACTATTTCATTATTAATATGTTTTAAGGGATTTTTTTAATTTTTAAAATACATTTAAGATTTATTTAATTTATCACAAATGAGTTTTAATTAGCTTGTTTGGTTTTGTTTTTCAAAAAATGCTTTTCAAAAGATTATACTTTTTTTTATTTTTAATAATTTTTTTAATATTTTAAGTAATTTTTTTTAAAAAAATTTAGATACGCCTAACATTAATATATTTAAAAAGTATAATATTTGTGAAAAAAACTTACAAAAATTCACTAAATACCATAAGTACAAAAAAATACAAAAATTCAATATATTTTTCATATTTTATGTATTTATTAATTTTTAAAAATATTTTTCCACAAATATTTTACTATCTATATATATTTAAGTAAGGTGCATTTAAAAAAATAACTTAAAATTTTAAAATTATTCACTAAAAATTAAAAAAAACGCAAAAAAACAAAAAATCTAATTTTAAAAAAAACTAAATTTGGAAAACTCAAACTAAATTTTTCAAAAAACTTATTTATCCATCTAAAAAGTGCAAGTTAGAGCTTATAGGCCCTGTTTGGTAAAACTTAAAACCAGCTTATTTCAGCTTTTAACTTAATTTAAGCTATTTGGTTGTGTTTGGTGCAACTTAATTGATTAAATTATAGCTTAAATGAAGCTATTATTCAACTTATTTGAAAAGTGGCTGAGGGGATGCTTATAGTTTTAGCTTAAGCGGGAAGCTGCACGGTGGGTGGTAAAATGACTTAAATGCCCTTTCAAAAATTGAAAAATGACCAAACTGCCAATATATAAACTTCACAATCAAACACTGTTCACGTCCGCGGAGAGAGAGAGAGAGCGTGAGGCGATTTCCGGCGGCCTGAGAGGCGATTTCCGGCGATGATTTCTGGCGATTTTCGATGATTTCTCTCTCTCTCTCTCTCTTTCTCCGGCGAAGCTCTGTTATCTCTCTGTCTAAACCATCGCCATCTCTTAATGCCGTCGTCGCCATCGCGATCGCAAAGCTCTGCTTGATGCTCTGTCTGAACCATCGCGAAGCCTTAGTTCATCGTGATCTCTCAACGCCGTCGTCGATCTGAACCATCACGATCTCTCAACGCCGTCGTTGTCATCGCGATCGCGAAGCTCTGCCTGAAGCTCTGTCTGAACCATTGCGAAGCCCATCGCAATCTGCCAACGCCGTCGTCGATCTGTGCTACCGGAGATAGGGTTTTCAAACCCTAGAAAATAAATTGAAAATAAAAGAAAAAAATCAATATTAATGTTAATTAAAAAAGAAAAAATTACTTTTCAGAATTAATATATACTTTTCAAAATAAAATGAAAAACAATTTATTTCAAAAAAAAATTAATTGTAATGATTTTTTTTAATAAAAACAGAATTAATTTAAATTGATATTATAACATTACACAAAATTAATACAAAATTAAACAGAATTAATTGAAATAAAATAATATGTAATGACATCACAACATTAATTGAAATAAATTGATACAACATTACAGAATTAATTGAAATAAATTGATATTACAACATTAATTAAAATAGTTTGTAATGACATCACAGATTTAATTGTAATAAAATATAATCACATCACAACATTAATTGAAATAATTGATTCTATTAATGAAAGGATTTGTCAAATGAATAAATGAATTACTAAAAATAAAAAATGAAATATTACTAAAAATAATTAAAATGAATAATAATAATACGAATAATTTTTAATATTTAACACAATTTATTTCAATTAATATTTACTTTTCATAATAATAAAGAAAAGAAATACAGAGAAAGAAGAGAAGAAAAAAATTAATAATTTTGATAATGAATATATGAAAGATAATATGTAATGAAATCACAACATTAATATAAATTAAAACATGAATATTAATTTTAATGAATTAATAAATTAAAAAAATTAACAAAGAAAGAAGAGAAGAAAAAAAAAATAAAAAAAAAAAATAAAGTTAAAATGAAAAGAAAAGAAAAGAAAAGAGAAATTATAAATAAAATCACAAAATTTATATCTTATAAAAACAAAAATGATAATTATACAAAAAAAAAAAAAAATTATTTTACAAACCTTACCAGTTTATCTTCCCAATCTATAATCATTCAGCCACATGGCCAGTAGCAAGTTATAACATCATCATCTCCTTCTTCTTTTCCGCCGTCGATAAACCGATTCCCGGAGATCTCGCCGGCCGTCTGAGAAATGGGATTGGGCTTCGTCGTCGGCGTCCTCGGAGTCCTGATCCTCTCCCACGCAGCCTACTCTACCATCCAGTGTACCCCCTCACTCTCTACACCAAAAAAATCAAAATTAGGGTTTCCCTGTCTTGATATCTTCTCAATTTGTCTATTTTGGTTTGATTTCAGATAGATCTCTGCTCAAGATCACCGAGGAGGAGTTCTCCGGCCCACCTATGAACGTAATTTTCAGTATTTAGATAGCTATACACATAATTATATCTAAAGAATTCATATATAATAAAGTTGTGTACTTTGTTGGGTTTGTTTTGATTTTGCATAAGCATATGGTTTTTTTTTTTTTTTTTGGGCAATGCAGGTGGTTGTTGAGTTGATTTTAGGGTTGGGTTTCTGTATGTGGGCGGCGCTCACTGTTCCTGGCAAATTTCGATCGATAGTCCCGTATTCCGACGACAACAGGTAATGTTTATTTGTTTCTTGAATAGGGTATGAAAAATTATAGCTTGTTATTGTTACAAGTGATGATCAAGTATAGAAATAAGGTGGGCTTGTGCTGTTAGAGTAATTGAGGCACTTAGTAGCAATTCTTTTTATGAAACATAAGATTGCTGTTGATTTGAATTCAAAATTATAGCTTGTTATGGGTACAAGTGATGATCAAGTATAGAAATAAGGCGGGCTTGTGCTGTTAGAGTAATTGAGGCACTTAGTAGCAATTCTTTTTATGAAACATAAGATTGCTGTTGATTTTAATTCGATAGATCATATTTTGTTGTTGAGAATGTAATGAACTGGTTGGGAGGTTATTGTGTGCAATAATGATGTATATAAGGTTATAAAAGGAACATAATTTGTATTTTAAGACTGAAGAGAAATATGCTTATATCATTGTCGTTTGCAACTATTTGAATTTGATGGTCATAGAAGCAGTTAATCATTTTAATTTATTTTGGAAATTATCACAATGTTATAGTTGAGTTTCTGAAACTACAGAGAGTGAGGTCTACTACTTGTGCCTGACTTATTTTTATCTATTTTAAAGTTTTTAACTGTTCTACTTAAATTGACAGTTCAAGCTAGCAATCAACATATTCAAACTAATTCGACAGCTACATGGAACTTTTTTTATTGTTCATTTCACTTCATATCCAAGGGCCATTACTTAGTGTAGTAAAACACAGTTTCGAATTTGACTACAGTCACTTTAAGCAAATTATGATAAAAGTAAATGGCAGCGTGTTTTTATTTTATTTTATTTTTTATTTTTTTAAATCAGAAAAACATTATCCAGAATCTGCTCTAGAACACAAATAAATAATCATAAAGGTAAAGATAATGGTCCCTCACCCGGTGATCCAGATGTCTCGCATCCAATGATATTTACCTTGCCTGCTCTATTTTTTTCTGTGAAAATTTTGATGGCAACAATTTGATGTCTCTTGTCTTATATTATATAAGCCTCTCAAAACCAGGAGTTTGCATGTAGGTGGGATACTAAGGGTCTGTATCTTTTAGTTGTGTGAATCAAATGAACTTATCTTTCTATTTACAAACACACACGCACACATATATATTTTATTCTTTAAATAATTATTTCTCAAATAGATAATTTTAGACTTCCACTAAATGCAATAATGTCCATCAACATATTGCAACTAAAACCGACCCCAAGGGGTTGACCTGGTGACAAGGCCTTAGGTCTTGGGGGTATGCTCCCTTCACGGTTCAGGGATTGAAATCTCTTAAGCGCTAACAATTCCTTGAGGCCATCGGACTGGGGAAAAACTCTTGAATTAACCATGGTGCATTTGCGGGAAACTCTTTGCCGAGGGCCTATGCATCCCTGGGGATTAGTCGGGTTTTGATCCGAACACTCGGGTGCCAATCAACAAAAAAAAAAAAAAAAAAACACATTGCAACTAAAACCCCCTTAAAGTAGAGAATTACAAGTGAGACCTTTTCTTCTAATTTACATTAATATCCTTCAGCGAAAACTATATTTCACATGAACTTATTGGTATGGATAAATTATTGTAGTCAAATCCCTTGCTCATGTAATAAAAAATTCTTAATTTTCAGTTTTTAATTATACCCTAAAGATAATTTTTGAAAACCTTTAATAGCATACTATATTAATTTTACAAATATAAAACATTTTAAAAAGGTTGCTGGCCGGTTTGCTTTGGGTGTAATATTAATGTGAAAATTACATGAATATACTATCTCTTTCTTAGAAAATAGTGGATTTCATGTTGAGCACCTATATATTTTAATTTCCATACACATAACCCAAGGTATCTGTTTATAGCCTTTAAATTTGTCATCACTAATTGACAATGTCAAAGTTATATGAATAGTGAATTAATTTATTCAAAGTCACTCAAATCTAAGGACAATAAATGAATTGTAATGGAACTAGCCTTCCAAACTAATCGTGATTACTCCATAGGGTGTTCTCAAACTGGATCATATTCAATGCATGTACTTATTACATTGCACCTACTTGTTTGCCTAAGGTCACTACCTCCATGATGGTAATCATTCTATCATATAGAAGCAAAACAAGTATAGGCCATAATAGTGTGACGCCCAATCTGCATTCATAGCCTAGAACAGTTTCAAGTATGCCAGGTATTGAAAAATCATAACTCCCAGCCTTAGTTCATTAACCATTGGCATGACTTTTCTATAATGTTACCAAAGGGACCTTATGTTCACATTATATGTGACATCATAAAATATTACCCATAAATAATGATATATAAACTAAAATGCCAAAATAAGCCAAATTATTAAATCCAAGATTTAGGATTTTGAAGGCATAAACCATTCTACTCATAGCACCCTCAATTGTCATAGCCCAATAGTTATCAATGGCCTTTACTCGTGTCATCCCTACTACATAACTTTATGAGTTATTTGCGCTTGTCTTTTGTCATAGTTTCAAGTTCCATACTTTGCACTTTCCTCCTATTTGTTTCTTAAAATCCTCTACTCATAGCACCCTCAATTGTTATAGCCCAATAGTTATCAATGGCCTTTACTTGTGTCTTCCCTACTATATAACTTTATGAGTTATTTGCTCTTGTCTTTTGTCATAGGCTTGAGTCCCATCCTTTGCACTTTCCTCCTATTTTGTTTCTTAAATTCCTCTAGTCATGATGACTTGATCGTTTTATCCAAAGTTTGACCTTCTATTTCTTGCAATTTTGAAGGCATATTTTAATTGATGCAAGAATGTTTTAAGAAAAATTTGATTATTTTCGACACATGTAGGGGATTGTTCTCACTTATTAGCACCACATCACTATAAAAAAAGTTTGACCACCTATTTCTGGCAGTTTTGAAGGCGTATCTTAATTGATGCGAGAATGTTTTATGAAAACTTGATTATTTTCGTCACATGTAAGGGATTGTTCTCACTTATCAGCGCCACATCACTCTAAGAAAAATGTTACTTTGCCAATTGAATGAGGCAACTTTTCCTGTTTTAAGCTCATATTCATCCATTTACTAAAACTATTTTGCTTAATAGGTTTAATTGAGTTTTACGGCTCCATTACTCTCATATGAGTAGAATTAGTGAGAATTTCAATAAATAAGAAGGTGGTATTCTTATATTCTCCAAATGATATTGTAGATATAGCTGTGTATCGCTTTATATGTGTTGTGAACTTGTGACAAAATTCTCTGGTTTATACAAAAGTTCTGATTTATGTCAATATTAATATCAGAATATCTACTCCAAATTTATTCTGAAATTCATAAGAATGACAAATTTTCCACCCCTTTTAAATGCTCTTTGATTTTCCAATGCCGATTTTTTTGTTTTGTTTTGTTTTTTCTTTTAGCAAATTCACTCATTCTTCCCCAAAAATGTTAATTTTTTCGTCATGCATAATATATCTAAATCATTATATGGTCTGATGATTGCATCTTCTTCTTCTTTTTTCATTTATTTTTAAAGAGGTTTACAGATTCATGATAAATTTATGTCAAAGTAGAAAATAGCCGTCATTGGCAAACACCTTGGCAATAAGGAAAGTGATGCAGGACGAATAAGGACAGCGCTGTAAGGGATGTTCTAGGGCTGTGAAAGTGTTGAAATTTAAGGGAAAAAAAAGAAAAAGAAAGGAGAAGAAGAAGATAGGTCTAGAAATCACTCCCAGAATATCTTAGGCATCACGCCTAAGATTTGGTTGCATCATACAATCCATAAAGAAGCTTCAAAGCTCTCAATTTTATTATAAAATATCAATTCTATTGAATTATAAGTATTACATGACTTTATGTAAAATCGGGAGACTTCTTAAACCAACTATAACAAAAAAAAAGAAACTATTATAAGATCTTTGATTTCTAAAACTAATTTAAGACTAAATAAGAAGCATAAATAAAAACCTAATTAAATAACTTGACCTACAAGATGACCCGTGGGCGACCCCTACAATCCATAACAACAATAATGAAAATTACCAAAATACCCTTGACTTAAAAATCCTACAAAACATTAAAATAATCATAAAATAATACTCTAATAATACTAGAAATATAATTATATAAAATTCCTATCAGTTTCTCTATGAAATCATGCTAATGCATCATAAAGTGTCATGCTGGTTGCCAGAGCACTAACCTACTTCTTAGGGCTGTTTGTGTCAGAAAATGTGTAAAAGGTGAATGAAAATATATAAAAGTGTTTTGGGATATGCGAAGAGTGTATTGGACTTATAAATATTTTAGCATTTTGTGGATCTTATTGACAGCCCTATGGGCTGTCATTAGTAGGACCCATGGTTGTGTTGAACTATGCTTATTTGCTACAATATTGCTAAAGGTTGGTTTTATAAATGTTGATCACAATGAAATTTTCCTAATAATGAGGCTTCTGATAGTCTTTCTTGTCACCGCAATATCTGAAGTGATGAAAATTCAACAGCACTATCAATATCAGTTCCATTGTGTGTGTGTGTGTGTGTGTGTGTGTGTCTAAGCCACTGAACTGCTTTATGAGATGGTCAAATCATTCTGCATGATAATAAACAACAGTTATAGGCTTACCAATGCTAATGAAATAATTAATGATGGGATTCTACAACAAACAATTGTTTAAGCAGAAAACCATTTAGGAACACCATGGAGAGTTTGGAATTGCTATCCACCCAAAAAAAAGAAGTTTGGAATTGCATCTAACTGCAAATGACTCAATTTTTTTTTTTGATTTATTTTTTTCCCATTTTCTTTCTTCTTTTCATGTTTTCTCTTTCTCCTGGCCTCCTTGACACTCTCAAGTTTATTAGCTTTTCTTCTTCTTCTTTTTATTCATTATTAGTATTTAGTTTCTTTCTTTTTCTTACTTTTTTACATGAATAATCTACTCTATTAGAATCCAAAAGTTAAACCAAGCCTTGCTGCATTGTGTAAAAGCTGATGCACAGTCTTTAGATAAGTGGCCAACCTTGTTAAGCTATGTAATATTGAGAAATTGCTTATTCTCAGCCTTACTTTTATATTTTGTTTAATGATTTGACTTTAGAAATAGTTTGTGAAATGGTACCCAACATGACTATATTTGCTTTGCTGTTCATATGTAAATGTTTGGATAATTTATGTCAGCCTTTTCTGTCTTCTTGAGTGCAGGGTAGTCTCTTTACCTGCGAATATGGATTTCATGATCTTCAATCATCGTGGAAAAGCATTTCCTTTAGATGTTGACATGAAGTTGAAGTAAAAGGAAATAGAAGAAGAAAATTGTCTAGTATTTTGAAAGTTTGATATGCTTTTATACATAATCAGATTAATGTTTTGTGTTATTGTAGTTGTTAAATCACCTACAAGGAGCTAAGTAGGGTGCTTGTGGATTTTAATGGACCAGGACAGAAAAAGGACTGGCCCTTTACATTGTGGTTGTTTGACCATGAAATTTTCCTACTTTTTTATGAATCTAATTTAAATTTTGTTACGAAAGCCGACATTCACGACAGGTTCGTCTACTTTCTAAGGAAAAAATGGAAGCATGGGAAGGTGATTTTTATGTTTGGGATATTTGTCATTTCTTTAAATTTACAGCTTCTTATCTTGAATAAAAATTGGCTTTGCCCAAATTCCATCTTCTCAACAGTAAGAACTGAACCTCAGATCTGCGACTGATGCTTCTTATGCCTCTCTAGAATGGCTATTGGGGGGAAAGAAGTGTCCGAGGTTATAGTAGTGATTTACTTTATTTTGCTCCTGCTGTTTTAATTTCGGAATACTGACGAAATTTCACATGGTTGTTGCTGCTATTTTGCATTACCTTGCCAACATTTTTATTGAAACAGATTTAAAGGATAGCTAATCTGAGTATAGCTTACTTTCCCTTTCATCAAACCCATTCTATCATAGTTTCTTGAGAGAATTTTACAGAATGAAAGTCATTTCGATCACCTCTTCTATTTCGGAACCCTCCCTTCACTTGTTTGAAACCTTTTTGGCTGTTCACGGATTTGCTTTCACTGAAATTGGTTCCAAGATTGTCAAATAGTTCTCTCAATTATTTATATATGTGCGGGTATGATGTGATCAATTTATTTATATATGGGAGAATATGAGAGTTTCTCCCTGACTCGAATTTTATCTGAATTTTAATTAGGAAGTTTTTTTCATTATAGGCTTAGAATATTATGATTTTTTTTTGGTAGTCTCGGTAGCAAGCTACCCTTGAGAGCAATAAATGAATTCAAATTACTTGTATTGACGTTCTATTTGTTTGAGTAGAAAATATAATTTTATATTTTTTAAGCATTTGGTATAATAGAAAATAAGTCAATTTGTGTAGATGGAAAACATTTGTACGAATAAGATCTTACCATTGTCATCAAACTACCACCACTGTCACCCCACCACCTCCATCTCTATCTGCTGCCACCATCATTACTAATACAACTATTAGTGCATTGCATTCATTTTGAGAGTACAACTAAATATAATAAACTATTTTCTTTAGAATATTTGTTTGAAAAAGTTCTTCGTCAAAATAAACAGAACGTTAATTTTTTCGTAAATCCATAATAGTGAGCATGATTTGGATAGGTTCGGTTTAGGTGTAAACTACGACCAATCCACTACTTTGGAACCAAACTAATCCAAATTAAACCACTAAATCACAAATGGTTCGGAACCGCGAATTTTAAAAATATTATCATTATTCACAATAAGATCATAAAATATTATTTACAACATAAGAATTGTTTACATAATTGTTTAAAACTAGTTCTATCATTATACAAAAATATACTTATAATAGTAGAGAGTTATATATGTATATGATACAAATAAAATATTTTAGTATTTACATTAAGTAACAAATTTTATATAATCTAAAAGGTTCAGTTCGGTTCCAATTGAATTTGTAGCTATAAAACCACGGATCAAACCATAAAATATGATTCATCTATTTAAAAAACCAGAATCGAACCGTGTATTGAGGAAATCAAACCAAATAGTGCGGTTTGGTTTGGATTGAACCGGTTTACGATTTTTTCAGTTTTTATGCTCAGCCCTATAGATCAATAATTGCTCAAATGACCTTTTAATTTTTTGGTCATATCTCCCAATCTTTTTGACTTGCTCCCCTCTTTGTCCATCACTGAGTTTCAACTAGGGTTTTGATTGATCAAAAAGAAGATATGTTGCATCATATGTGAAACCCTTAAAAAGCAAAAAATTCAACCTAGAAACAATTTGAACTAGAAAATTAGATTAGGAAACAAAGAAATAGAACATAAATATCAACTAGGATGATTGCAACTTTCCATGAAAATATCTTTCATACAATTCATGCACCATTGCAGCACACTGCTCCTCATACATGCATCTTTCCAACTTCTTGTTTCCACTCAAAAACCTATAAAACCAACCAAAAATTTCCTCCACAGCTCCCTACCAATCAACACTCCTTTTCCCTCTCCTATCCTCGCAGCCAAACTTCTATGGTTGAAGTATTGTACACGAATACCAAACAATGTGAGGTTGTATCGATCGGCAATTCTATACACAAAATTGGGGTACAAGCATGTATTTTTTTTGTAGGACTTCCTACATTTTGGAAAAATTCAAACAATTGTGGATGAAAAATACTATTTTAGTTTCTCAATATGGATAAGATTGTTCAAACCTGAGCCAACTTTCACTTGTGAAATCCCTTTCAATGCAATGGTGTTTTTCTTAAGGGGCGGGCCAAAGTTTTTGTGTCCCCTTTAAAAAGAACCAGTCATGGTTGACAATAAATGAGAGTTGAGACTATGAGACAAGCATAGTTATTTAATCAAGGCTTTGGTTAACGAGTGTTTTAAAAGTATTCATTAATAATATTTAATTTGATTGTACATTATTTATTGCACGCATTCTCATGCATCATGTACAAATATTTCAAATTTTTGATCAAATGTCCTAAAAGTACTCATTAACAAAACTCAATTATTAAACCTATGTCACTTTTAAATAAAAGGTATTTACACTGATCTCCTTTAAAATTTTGAGAAAATATAATAAGCTTAATAGTTTTAACATAATTACATCAATCTCCCTTTTAGTAAGATTAAAGAGATCAAAACGAATATAAATAGTATAAAAACACAAGGATAAACAAGGAAAAATATGTAATTCATTTGTATAACTATTATGTGAATTAGAATCTTATTAGAGCCCAATATAATTATGCCAAACTTATGAAAGTTGCTATATTTTCTTCAAAAACCTGGAGGGAGGTTAACATAATTTGCCTTTCAATAAAATTTTAAAATATGAATTGTTTTGAACTTACTTTTCAAACTCAAAGTTATTTTTCACTTGTTTTCGAAAAACGACTTTTGGCTGACTAGCTTGGAATTGTCTTTTGAAAACATGACTTCAAAGAACTAACTTCATTAAGAAAATAAGTCAAAAAACAACTTTGCATTTGGAAAATCTAGTTCAACATGACATGGGTATAGTTACTAAGGGATATTTTGGAAAGTGGATTAAAAGTCATTTTTAGCTTTTAATTCACTTCTTCTCTCACAAAAAAAAGTCAAAAAGCCAAAAAAAAATCAACTTTTAACCATCTTTCTAAAATACCCCTAAAGACAACCACATACACCACTTTCAGATATAAATGCACAGTTCAACAACTTCTGTTTCTATATATATATATATATATATCCCGAAACATCTTCCCATTACAAAACATCAAAAAGAGCAGAGATTTTGGATTTGGTGATAAAAAAAAACCTTCAAAGCACATGGGTCAGTCTAGATTGCAAAAAAACTTCAAAAGCAGTGGATGCTTTGTTTGGGTTAAGTATGCAGTGAAGCAATTGCAGAAGGGTTTCCTCTGCCTTCTAAAACAGGAAACCGGGGACTGCAACATTACCAAGAAGATCATCGATGAAGCGAACCCCATGGAAGGACACTTCCCGGTGCTAGCCATCTGCAATGGTGAAGAAGCAAGGAAGTTCTTGGTTGCATTAAGTTACCTTGCATATCCTCCCTTTGTCAAGTTGTTGGAAGCAGCCGAGCAAGAATTTGGATTTGATCAACCGGGCGTTTTGGTCGTACCGTGCAAAGCAAATGAGCTCCAAAGAATTCTGTTGAGAGCGAAAGAAATGAAGAAACCATGAGAAACAAGCTTGAAAATAAGAGTTCAGTCTGGTCTTTCTTCATATTCTGGGGTGAGCAAAATATCTTAGTGTGTTGAGAGAAAAATATGGATATAAACTATATTTGGTCAGCGTTATGTCTCTTTCAAATGTTATTTCTTTTAAAATGCCAATAAAAAGCACACATAAATCAAAGAATTTCAATCACTGCCAAAAAAAAAAAAAAAAAAGAAGAAAAAAGAGAAGAAAAGAAAAAGAAAAAGAAACTTTTATGATCATTCTAATAGTAGTGAGAAACATGAGCTACTGCAAGTATTTAGAGGATGCCACCAAATATGAGCTACCTTCAATTTCCTCCGCATCCCACCAAACATGTTCAGATAAATAACATCATATCCTTAAAGAAAGTCCATCATTTAAGCAAATGTTGTCTTCATTGCTCCCTGCAACGTGAAAGCCCCTTGTTGATAATTCATGCCACCATAATAGCAGACTGACACCTCCAGCCAAACAAACTAAAAGTACAATAACCCCAAAGCTGCCAACAGATCAAATCAAACAAAACAAAGAGGCACTCTCCATTGGAATGAATATGAAGTCCTTGCCTTCGCCTCCTTCAGCTACAATCCAAGGGCAAACAACAGTTTTTCCAAACAAGAACACCAAAATCCAACAAACCTGGAGAAGGATGAAATGCTTCTCAATGGTCTGCTCCTCTGGCCAAAATATCACTAGAAAAGCTTGGGCAATCACATAAAATGGCAGCAGGAAAGACTATTGATGAATGGCATAATTATATAAAAAAGAAGACAAGGAGATTTGATTTGACCCAATCTCTTTGCCCACAAATATAGAGAGGGAGTGTATATGAACTCCACATTTCCGTCAACGAGCAACCACCAGAGTTGACTCCACATTTCTGAGAGAGCAACCACCAGAGTTGACTTTAAGAAAGCCCTGAAAAAGGGAATCGCCCTCGTTTGGGATGAGTTAATTTTAGCCTGGCTAAAAAAATTGTGTTTGAGATAAGTTTTGACCTTTTTTATTTTTATTTTTATATTAGTTGATTTTATGTTTGTGAGAGAAAAAATAAATAATTATAATTTAAATGTGACATTTTGTTTTATTGGCTAAATTAGCCTGTTTTGTCTTTATTGGCTAATTTAGCCAAAATAGCTCATGCCAAATGAGGCCGAAATACAAGTGCCAAAAAAGACTGCTCAACACTAGGTAAATGTGATGTGTACATAGAAAGTTGGAAAAAAACTAACTACTAGCCATTCACTAATGAGGCTAATTTAGTAACTTTTTGACTAATTGGCTAAAAAAGTAAGTCCCCAAACGGGGCCTAATTATATAAAAAAGAAGACAAGGAGATTTGATTTGATCCAATCTCTTTGCCCACAAATATAGAGAGGGAGTGTATATGAACTCCACATTTCCGTCAACGAGCTGGGTTTCTGAGAGAGCAACCACCAGAGTTGACTTTAAGAAAGCCTTGAAAAAGGAAATCGCCCTCGTTTGGGATGAGTTAATTTTAGCCTGGTTAAAAAAATTGTGTTTGAGATAAGTTTTGGCCTTTTTTATTTTTATTTTTATATTAGTTGATTTTATGTTTGTGAGAGAAAAAGTAAATAATTATAATTTAAATGTGACATTTTGTTTTATTGGCTAAATTAGCCTGTTTTGTCTTTATTGGCTAATTTAGCCAAAATAGCTCATGCCAAATGAGGCCGAAATACAAGTGCCAAAAAAGACTGCTCAACACTAGGTAAATGTGATGTGTACATAGAAAGTTGGAAAAAAACTAACTACTAGCCATTCACTAATGAGGTGGACTAGATGGAAAGACAAACATCATTACTTACATTAAAAGATGGTGAAACTGCTTAGATTTAAATTTGATAAAACTGCACAAAATTCAAATACATCCAATGGCTGCAATCCCAGAAGGAAAAAGTTTGCAACAATAGTTGAGAAAAAGCATTGGATAGAGTTGCTAGTTGCATTAAGAAGTTCAGAAAAAAGAAAGTTAAGATAAGAAACAAAACTTAAACGGGTAGTAACAACAACCAAGAATTACCACTATTTCAAGATGAAACAAAATTTCCCATACATAACATAACTGTAGATCACCATTTCACTTTAATAGAAAACTGTGAATAATCATCCGAAAACTCTCATTTAGGTGCTTTCGATCTTGACCTAGATTATTTTTATTATTCTTTCCGCAAGTATCTTGACCCAGATAATTATGTGTTCAACCTCTTTGGGAAGTCTCCATAACCATTTTGCACAAGGAGATTCCCATAAACGACTTTGCAAACACCTCAACTACTGAGAAATTCATTAAAACAAAGCATCCAACTAAACTATTCTGTCAATTTAACTTTTCAGGGGTATAATGCCATCTCTGAGATTCACTTTTGAGGTGTGTTTCACATGCAATTAGAAGGGAACTCACCAATGACGTACCAATTGCTCCCCATGTTTCTTATCCATACCCTAGCTAATATACCGCATGGTACCAATTGCTCCCCATGTTTCTTATCCATACCCTAGCTAATATACCGCATGGATGCTTAGTGCACAAAAAATGATTAATGTAAAGCACATAGAAAAACTTCAAATGATTTGTAGTATCAAACCAACCAAAAATAGAGAAGAATAAGAAGTTATGCTTTCCAACCAAGCACCAAGTCAACGTCGATTTTTTACTTTATGAAAATTGTTTGATCAACTCACTGACTATTGGGATCAATTGAATCTGGATTTGGCGTTCATTTTTTAGTAATTAGTACTCAGCACATTAATGTACATTTGTTGCTGTAAGTTGGAATTTATTCCAGAACTTGTGAAAAATTTTAAATCATTTAAACAATTCAATCAACACAATCATGTTCATGCTAAAAATTCTAAAGTTTTGTGTCTTTTATTCTTGCTGTTCTCATACTTTTTTAATAATTAAAATTTTATTAGAACGATTTAGTAGTTTTTTCATAACTGGTGTACTTAATTATACTATTAAAAAGTGAATAATTGTGTTAAAACCTATCACCTACTTCACCCACTTAAACCTACTCCACTAAACCTAACCCACTACACCACTACCACCTCACCTACTCCACTAAACCCACTACACCACTACCACCTCCACTTCACCTACTCCTCACCTACTACACACTCACCCTTGGTTGGATTTATTTCACGTCACCAAAGAAACTATATCAAAAAGGGCAACATCTGTATGTATACTATTCCTTGTGCTACATCTGTGTACTTCATAAATGTAGAGTCAAAAGGGGCTTCTTTTTTCCAATTGCAGTTGGATATAAATGAAGCTTTTGGTGGAGACCTCTCCAAGCAAGTTCAAGCTGTCGTCACTGGTTGGATTTATTTCACATCACCAAAGAAACTATATCAAAAAGGGCAACATCTGTATACTATTCCTTGTGCTACATCTGTGTACTTCATAAATGTAGAGTCAAAAGGGGCTTCTTTTTTCCAATTGCAGTTGGATATAAATGAAGCTTTTGGTGGAGACCTCTCCAAGCAAGTTCAAGCTGTCGTCACTGGTTGGATTTATTTCACGTCACCAAAGAAACTATATCAAAAAGGGCAACATCTGTATGTATACTATTCCTTGTGCTACATCTGTGTACTTCATAAATGTAGAGTCAAAAGGGGCTTCTTTTTTTCCAATTGCAGTTGGATATAAATGAAGCTTTTGGTGGAGACCTTTCCAAGTAAGTTGCAGATTGAACTAATCTTAATAATTCTTTGAACTAGAATTTTAATCTACCACCTCATACATCACTTAAATAGTTATTGTTTTAGAATTAAGATTTGCCCATAAAATGAATATGAGATCGCTGTTAACATTAATGTAATACAAATAACATGCTATAAATCCTCATATGCATAAAGTAAAAACAATAATGACAATTTGAGTATGTAATGAACAAACATTGCTAACAGAGTTGATGTCCATTTTCTTCTGTTGGGATGAAAAGCTGTTGTGTTTTGCAGTTCAGACACCTCTGGCTTGGAATAGATTTTGCTTCAAATCAATGGATCAGTAACACAGCACTGCAATGAACCAGAAATACAAAACATACTGCATAAAAGATGCAGTACAAAATGTTTAATGATATAAAATATTCGTTATCAAAAACAAAACAAAACAAAACAAAACAAGACATAATGAATGAAGAATACCTGGAAAGAAACTAAGGTTTAATTTTTATATTCAGTCAAATTGTAAAAATTTATGTATTATTGATTGATGTTTATTTATTTATTACAATGATTCATGATTCCTATATATAGAAGAGGGTGAGTGTGTAGTAGGTAAGGAGTAGGTGAAGTGGAGGTGGTAGTGGTGTAGTGGGCTAAGAAGCACGGACACTTCTAGGAATGTGACGTATCCGTGTCGGGTACGTGTCGGACACCGACACTCTTTGGACACTCTCAGGACACGTGTCCGACACTCTTCAAAACGTGTCCTATTGTTTAAAGACTTGGACACTCTTTGGACACTTGAAGGACACACGTGTCAATCGTTTAAACACACGTGTCTGACGATTAGACATACGTAAAACTAATTATAAGTTTGAACAAAATAACTTAAGATACAATAATAAAATAAAAACCATATAAATTTAAAAGAATTAGTGTCATATTGCATTTTTTATTATCTTTGAATGATATATTCATATATATATAACATATAATAAATATATAAAATTATATATTTCATGCGTGTCCTCCTCGTGTCGTGTCCTGCATTTTTTGAAAATTAACGTGTCGGCGTGTCCGTGTCGTACTCGTGTCGTGTCACGTATCCGTGTCCATGCTTCTTAGTCCACTACAGTATATGGCGGACCTCCAAATCGGAACATCACGGTAGCCTTCCGCTTCAGCTCATTGTTTTCCGCCTTTAGCACACTTATCTCTGCTCGCGCATCCTTATACATGCGCTGGAGCAGAGCCAGTTGGGCGTTTAAATGCTGCACCTCATTTGTCCTACTCTGCAGCTGGTGCGATAGGTTTGTGACCGCAGTCATGGTTTCCACACATGACTTCAATGTATACTGATTGGCTTCAATGTCAGTTTGCACTGCCATTTTTTGCTCCACAGACCGCATAGGAAAGTTCAACGGAACAAACCTTGGGGCGCTTGGTTGAGGTTCACTGGCCCCCGCACCAGTTATCTCTCTTGTTGACTCGTTAAGGTCTGGAAAAAGAGTGAGCAGACCACGGGAAGACGAAGCCATTTTCTGGACAACAGAGTGTTACAGAGTATCTCTCTCAGAAATCTCTCTCAGAGAACGAAGAGGTTTCCACTGGTTAGTTATGCTTTCAAGCCTCAGCCTCCGCTTCGGTTTATAAAGACCATGATGAAGAGGCAGACACGCGCATCGCGCGCCACTTGACGCCAGACGACAAAACAGGCGCGCAAGCCAATGTGGTCACGCGTCTCACCATCATGTCCGGCACACCTTTTTATGGAATGGGCGCACCTTTTGATGGCCCGTCTTTTGATGGCACGTTTTTTGATAGATTGGGCACACCTTTTGAGGGTGCGACTTTTTAAGGGTCCGACAAGACTCTGTAAACTGTCACCATTTTGCACAAGGAGATTCCCATAAACGACTTTGCAAACACCTCAACTACTGAGAAATTCATTAAAACAAAGCATCCAACTAAACTATTCTGTCAATTTAACTTTTCAGGGGTATAATGCCATCTCTGAGATTCACTTTTGAGGTGTGTTTCACATGCAATTAGAAGGGAACTCACCAATGACGTACCAATTGCTCCCCATGTTTCTTATCCATACCCTAGCTAATATACCGCATGGAAGCTTAGTGCACAAAAAATGATTAATGTAAAGCACATAGAAAAACTTCAAATGATTTGTAGTATCAAACCAACCAAAAAAAGAGAAGAATAAGAAGTTATGCTTTCCAACCAAGCACCAAGTCAACATCGATTTTTTACTTTATGAAAATTGTTTGATCAACTCACTGACTATTGGGGTCAATTGAATCTGGATTTGGCGTTCATTTTTTAGTAATTAGTACTCAGCACATTAATGTACATTTATTACTGTAGGTTGGAATTTATTCCAGAACTTGTGGAAAATTTTAAATCATTTAAATAATTCAATCAACACAATCATGTTCATGCTAAAAATTCCGAAGTTTTGTGTCTTTTATTCTTGCTGTTCTCATACTTTTTTAATAATCAAAATTTTATTAGAACGGTTTAGTAGTTTTTTCATAACTGGTGTACTTAATTATACTATTAAAAAGTGAATAATTGTTTAATGTACATAATACTAATACTTGTTTGTACTATCAGTTCAACTGGCTTTGGGCTAAATGTAGAAAAGAAAAGAAAAGAAACGAAAGCATTAGTACAACATTAGTTCAATCAAGCATGCATTCAACATCTGAGAGTGGAATAAAAAGGATAAACGTCATTTATCAAAACAATTTCTCCAGAATAAAGCTTTTCATTAGCATACCTTAAAAAATTGTTTTCAGCTGGGACTACAAGGGTCTCCACCTGAATGCTCATAACAAGCACTGCATTACAATATGCTTTTAACATTTCAGCTCCCTTGGTACATTGCTAACTTTCTGAAGAATACAATGACTTCCATCAAGCAAGCCATCCAATAAATTAGTCACAACTGAGTGAGCTCCTGTGAGTTTTCCATAGATTGTCTAAGAATTAACTCAGCTCTCCTTTTCTTGTCATCTTTCTCATCATCCCACTCAATCCAAGAAGCTGTTTTCCCAGAACCTCTACTTTGAAGTCTCAAATCTAGAGATTCACCTAAAATTTTCTTGCCTGTTTTAAAATTCAAATGGACAGCAGGCCTCCTGTCTGGAAGAACCCTACATTCGGAATCACAAAAACCACCCTTCATTGCTTCAATAACAGGAGCAAACGTGTCTAACAAAGAAACATGGCTTTCAGCAACAGCTTCATCAGAAAGCTTAGCTGGCAGTGGAATTGGAGAAACATCTTTCTCCCCATCTTGCGAAGGCGTAGCAAGAAACGGGCTTTTAGTTTTGGCAATTTGTAAAGCCTTCCCGTCATTACTCTCATTTGTTGAAGTGGAAGCTACTGCAGAACCATTGCATACCAACCGCTGTTGCAAACTCAACAAAGACCTTTCTGCCTTCCTCCTCTGCCTAGCTAGCTCAATTTTATCAGCACGAGGATCATTTTCCCTTTCATTCCATGTGTCTGTGTGTATATACGTATGAGGATCAGGAAACGCAGGCAACCAAGTTGGAATGTGCTTAAATGTTGACGGTTCACCCATTTGCATAAAACTCGGGGTCATAGTCTGATGTCTCATCACCGGAAAGTGTGGGACTGGCTGAGCAAATGGGATTTCCTCAGCAATCCTCACATAATCAACAATCTCCCTCACTGTACCCGAACCAGTGAGACAATGACTAACCTCTGAAGCACCCGAAAACCCCCTAGACGATCCCAAATCTTCCAACCCTTGTATAGCATCAAACACGTTACACTCAGTCCTACCAGCTAAATTAGCATAAAAATTCGCCGTCTTTCCTAAATCACGGAGATATCGAACCGCAATATCTGTGAGAGCCTCCAAAGCAGAGTCTTTGAAGCTCTCAAACCCAACACTCTCACATATCTGAGCCACCGCAATCTGCGACACGGCTCGGCCAAACTCATCGGCACTGGATCGTTTTGGTGGTTCGTTTTCATTCTCAGTCTCTCTCTTGCTCTCCACTTTACCTCCATCGTTCATATTCAAACCCTCGTATCATTTACGGCTTTAAAACGCAAAAATCCCCAAAATTCACCTCACCAACCTTCGCTCACATATCAAAAATTCACAAAAATCAGAACTTTAAACACGTTGTGGTATTCAGGGAAACCCTAGAAATGAATTGCGCTAAAACAACACAATGAATAGTTGGTTTAAATGACAAAAATATGAATGCTTACCAGTGATTTGAAGGAATTTGAAGTGAATCTCAGAACCGTTGGAGAGAAAGAGAAAGAGAAAGAGAGATGATTTATATGGGTTTGAGAGCTCTTACGAGTGTGAAATCGTAGAGAGGTTTAGTGAAGAATTTATGGTTTATGAATTGATACTGATAAACCCTAGAAAGAGAGAAGAGAGCGAAAGAAACAGAGGCTATGCAGAGGAGGAGAGGATCGAGGATCGAGGATCGAGGATCGAGTGGACTTTTTTATACAACTGGTTTTGCGAGCATGAGGGGAAAAAAAGGGGGGGCTTCAATTTACGCAGTACATTTGGTTTCATGCCATTCTATTACTCAGTTTATATATTTAATAATTTTAAAAAATATATAGTTTGTTTAGTTTTGATTTTTAAAAAATAATTTAATTTTTTTTTTTTTTTTTTTTTTTTTTATATGCTAACATTTTGAATGATTTTTTTTAATGTTTTAAATAATTTTTTAAATTTTTTTTTAAACACGCCTGTACGAGTAAGAGGTAATATTCTCGTATAATCCTGTTGATCAAGTCTGTGCTCCTTCAAACGTTGTCGCTTTATTTCCTGAAAACACAAACATGAGCTAGCCGGCGGGTGTGTGTCGGATACCTCTCGATGCCTAAGTTAACAAAATAGACAAATAGACAAAAGATCTGTGTATTCGGGAATCAAAGTTGTGTTACCTCTCCATAGGTGACGTTATGAGCTTTTATGGGTTCCGTGTGGCACAATCCTAGTAGGACTCTTACTCCTCCATATAGAGTCCTCCTAGGAATCACATTCCTGAAAAATAATGCTTATCCTTCCACACCCCTCTCACTGCTTAAACCAAGTGAGATAATTTTACCATGGTTGGATGTCAATACGACCGAGATAACATAGCCACGCTAAAGCCGCAGACTAGACCGAGCTCTAACTAGCTCGGTTCTTCCTTTCACTGCGTGTGTACCTCGGTTGACATATTCTAATTGGGTTGTCTGAACCGTGCTATCCACAATGAGCTTGGACCGAGCTATCTAACAGCAAGGTCCTAAGTAGAAGCCAACAATACCTCGGCTCAAGATGGTTTGACCGAGCTAACTGTTACCGCGCCAACCGCGGTGATCGAGCTAACCATCAAGCTCCTTCGGACTAGACTACCTGCAAGGCTCTTCTGGACCGGACTAATTATAAGGCCCTTTTACTCAGCCCTTCTTACCGTGGTCCACAGAATGCCCATTTACCTAGCTCGGTCCAATTTATATATAAATTACCCTCTCAATTGTCCTTTAATTCCATCTGCGCAGCATGATAGGAATTACCTGTTACCAGCCGAGCTAAAAAAAAAAAAAAATAGCCTTCTAACCGAACTAAAAAACTTTAGCCTTCCAATCGAGCTAAACTCACACTGGGCTACTTTAATATGCTCCGTCAAAAAACGTCAACTCACACCGGGCTACTTTAATATGCCTGGTCAAAAAACGTCTCTTCAATCTTTGTAACTGAATTGCTTCTTATTCCAAGGACACGTGGCACACCCTTATTAGCCCAGTGTAGCTGTCACGCCGCCTTCGTACCTCGCGATATTTGAACAGTCCCGCCCAAAATTTGAGCTTTTCACCAAAACCCTACTTTTTGAATTATTTACTCGTACTATTCACATTCTTCTCTCTCTCTGAGTCTCCATTCCTGCTTGACCCTGCATTTTGCTGAGTTCGTGTTTTCTGCTACCATTACTTTCATCTTTAGTACCCTCGCCTTGAACTGGTATGTTTGCTCAAACTGATTTCCTTTTTGTTGATTTCACACTTGTTTGCAACACATAATATGTGTATTTGTATGTTTTTTTGCAAAACACATATTCCATCTTTGCTTCTATTTTTCTGGGAAAAATCCATGTAGTAGAACCTCGAATAATTTGAGAAACACTGATTTTGATCCAATAGTACATTTCAACCGAACTAAAAATTTGTTTGCCTCGGTTGCATGCCTTGCTGCACCTAACAACCGAACTATAACTCCACACTATACTAGTAGTTTCCATAGGTTAGGTACCTTTAGCTTCATCTAATCGAGCAATCGAACCGTACTAGGTTTGCGCAATACCGTACTTAGAAAGCCTTAACCTCCGACCGAGCTACAACTTGGGGCTAAACCAGCTTTCTTAGTACAAACTGAACTAAGAATGCTGCCCCAAAAGCTCAACCGGGCTAAAAAGCCCCTCGCTCAAACCGAGCTAAAAACTGATAGCATCTTGTGTAGCCGAGCTAGGACTTCATTTATCTTGCCCTTGTTTTTTGTAGCACGGTCCAATGATCAGCGCTTAACACCTTTCTTTTTTATTTTGCAAACTTAGGTTGGCCAGGCACTCCTTTGATTGCTCAACCGAGCTACTAGGCGCATTTTCTTGACCGAGCTAATCCTTCAACTAATTTATTGATAATTTAATAATCAATGGGTAAATATAGGTTTTTAGTAAGCTCACCAGAGGCCATAGCCGAATTCCGTAAGGACTACCAAATTCCGGATGATGTCCACCTTTCACTAGTCAAACTAGACACCGCCCCCTGGTGAAAACAAGGCTTGTCATTTTTAACGTTATTTCCATTGTAGAGTGCGGTCTGCGATTCCCTGTACAACCCCTTCTTTGTGAATTTCTTAGACAAACCAAGCTTTGCCCTACCCATCTTTCCACCAATTCTTATCGCATAATAAACGGCATTGCCGAGCTAAACCGCCAGGCTGGCCTTAATCTCGGTCTAGCCGAGCTCTTCCATCAATACTCCATACGATTGGCCGAAGATGGATGGGTTTATTATTTAAGAATAAGGCGCCGATGTGAAAAAATAATACAGAATACCCCAGATAAAGACGTGAATGATGATGATTTCTTCTGGGTATCTGGGAATTTTGAGGACCAACAAGCCCAGATCCCTAGCCACAGAATAAATTGGAACAAGGGTGTAGCAAGTAGGGTTACCTCGGCTTCATTGCATGCTTTTCTTTACTTCGATTTTCATTTCCTGAACCAAACTAACTGTTGTCTTCCTTCATGCAGACTTAAACTTTCTCAAGTCCCAATACAGCTACCCCAACTTGAATGTTCTTCGCGCTGCGCTGCGATATCCAAACCGAAGTTGGACCGAGCTATTGAATTTTGAGCCGACCTACCGATATAGCGGTAAACGAAAGACCAAGGTAACTGACTTTTTGTTGGAAGCCTTTCCTGAACCGGACCCAACCTTGTCCCAAATCAATTTGATCCCTCTAACCGCTGAGCAAGAGATGGCCAAGAAACGAGCTGTAAGGGCCCTCTTGACCGAAACAAACCAGCCCAAGGTACCACTAGCCGATCAGACTCAGGAGACCGTAGTGGCCCTTCCATCCCATTAACCCTCATCATTTCATCCAAACAAGCGTGCTCGGACTTCCACAACCGAGCCACGCCTTATTGATGAAGAAGATACCATCCTTCCGCCAAGCCCTCCTCCGAGCCCATAACCGGAGCGCTCTGACTGAGCTAGCTCTTCCAAGTGGGCTCCAAAGATCACTTTTCAGAACTGTGCTATACGGGATACTGATTCAGTGGTCACTGAAAAAGACCACCTAATGGCATTCAATCTGGCCAAGAGTGTTTGCCTTTCATCCGACATGGAGCACCACAACCATATCACCGAGCTGAAAGCCATTCGCTTGGCCACAAAGTCAATGGTGCTGGTAAGTAACTTCCTTTGCTTATCTTTCTAATTTGCACAACTTTCTGCTCGGTTTTACTACAAGTCTCTTTCCATTTTTTTTGCAGGCCATGCAGAAGAACCACATCGCTCACAAGCGTGTATTAGAACTTCGCAAAACAACAAGGCAGACAATGACAGAGGTAACCGAAAAAATCGTCGAGCTAGAACAAGCCAGGAAGCAGATAGATGAGCTACAAACCGAGAATGGTCGTCTGACCGGTCTTGTTAGCTCGGCTGAAGCAGACAAGCAAAAGGCTGCGGCCGTGATAAAAGATAAATATCTGCGCGAGCTGGCCAAGCTTGAAGAAAAAAAGAATGCTGAAATAACAAAGCTTGAGAAGAAGCTGGAGGATGCGGAAAATCGTGGTTTCAAAGAAGGCGAAGCCCTGTACATCAAGCAATGTGAAGCTGCGAAGGACCTGTTCTTTAAATGCAGGTGGAGGGGGGCTGTGGCGCAGCTCGGTCATGGACCTAAGACCAAGGTCTTCAATCCTCCTCCATATTTCATACCGAGCTCACTAGCGGAGTATGCTGCTACCATTCAGCAACAATTTCTGGAAGAGGAGGATGAAGATGAAGCTCTAGAAGACAATACTCAATCCGGTCGCCAGTTTACCTCCCCAACTCCAGAGGTCTCCATCCCACCTTTGCCAGCTGTGTCTGATGCTGTGCTTCCAACCGAGCTTAACTAGAGTGTGGTTGCCACAACTGAGCTACCCCTGGGTGAAGACCGGGTGGTTTTAGATGCTGACTTAGATGACCTGTTTGCTTGACTATGTACTTTTCTTCTTTTTTGCCTTTTGGAAAGAGAGACTGTAACCGGGCCGAAGTCCCCTTTTTGTACTTTGACTTTGTATAATCAATGAAATCTCTTTTGTTCCAACTGTTATTTCGGTTAATTGCCATGCATGTAACTTTTTAACTGTAATCTGAATAAAGTATAATATTCTCAGGTCGAGATACCTTATCCTGGTCATAACTTTACAATCTGACTGGCCATACCTGCCAACCTCTTTAGCCTTGATCCGTATCTTGGCTGAAGAACAATAAGCGTTGGTTTTTCCAGCTAACCACTCTTCAGCCTAGATCCTTACTTCGGCTGAAGAGTACTAAGTGTTGGTTTTTCCAGCCAACTTCTTCAGCCTAGATTCTTATTTCGGCTGAAGAACAATAAGTGTTGGTTTTTCCAGCCAACCTCTAAGTTGGTTATTTCTACCAATCTAGAGTAGAGTGTTTGGTTATTCTGACCAAACATCCTGCAGCCTGGATCCTTATCCTGGGCTTAGGAGGGGTGTTGGTTTTTTCAGCCAACCTTTAAGTTGGTTTTTCCTGCCAACCTAGAGTAAAGTGTTTGGTTATTCCGACCAAACGTCCTGCAGCCTGGATCCTTATCCTGGGCTTAGGAGGGGTGTTGGTTATTCTAGCCAACCTCTAAGTTGGTTATTCTAGCCAACTTCTTCAGCACTGATCCTTACTTCGCTGAAAAGAGTGCAAAGTTGGTTATTCCGGCCAACTATGCTTACAGTTTTCCTAACTCACTAAAATAATCTTTTACAGAAGGAAACAACTA